GACGGACCTTGACTGGAACACGTGAATATTCTTCACAAAATCGAGGCTAACCCTGAGTGAATGAGTCTGTAATCAAGAAACACAGCGGTAATTTGGAACTCGAAAAACGMCTATTATGCCCTCCAAAATCACCCAATTTTCTCTTGTTATTTCAGATTTTTTTGATCGCTGCTATGGCCTGCATGGTCCAGTACGAGGCTCACTGGGTGGGGTACCCGGCTAAAGTGATTTTCTTCTATATCGTCGTATGTGTGTCATGGATTCTCTGCTTGTCTTTCTTCATCATGTTGCTTTGCACGTGTGACAAGAGAATGCCTGACTATGATTGGAGCCTTTGTGTGAGTAGCCCTCTAAAACAAAGTTCAAATCCATTTAAAAGAACCACAAATGAAGACTCTATAGAGTGGTTTTCGTATTAGTGGGAAACATACGGTACTGACTTACAGCACGTACACGGTACGACATGCTGTAACATTGAAATGGCTTCCCATAAGAATAGTTATCATGAGTGGGAAAAATACGGCACTGACTTACAGCACGTACACGGTACGACATGCTGTAACATTGAAATGGCTTCCCATAAGAATATATATCATGAGTGAGAAATGTACGGTATTGACTTATAGTATGTACACGGYGATACGACATGCCATAACATTGAAATGGCTTCCCATAAGAATGGTTTTCCTCTCCTACTATAAGCCCATCATGTTACCATGGTGATAACAATACCATTTGTTTTAGATCGTATTCACCAGTACCCTTATCGCTATTTTCGTCTTTGCGTCCGCTGGACTGATGGCGGATGAGGCTCGCAGGCACCAGAATCTAGGCTGGAAAGATGTTTTATCGACGAAGATTAATTTCCATCTTGATCATCTTGTCGCTGCCGTAGTAAGTATTTGAACCAATCAGATGAGCTATTCTATTCGGCCGATAGTAAACCAGCTAGGGTGACATTTTCAAGCCAAAATGGGTGACATTTTAAGCTTAATGTCACGCTTCCATGGCAACCCAAAAGAAAATAATAATGATTTATTTGTGTCTAGCTGAAAGGAAATCGGAAAAAAATAGTCCCTGACAGAATACCGGTCGGATCCTCTAACCACTGAGCTACAGTAAAAACAAATACGACCATCTGCTTTCCAACATGCTATATCTTATGCGCATGCGCGACTTATGTCCTACACTCAGGAAACCCAAGCAAATTGTCCTTCAAAAAGACTAAAGCTATCGGTAGCTGCCTCATAATTAACCAATCACAATCGAGTATAAAGTAGATTCACAACTCCTGGTGTTTTGTGTTTTTCAGGTGTTGGCATTTATTGCAGCTCTGATATTCATTATCGACGCCATCGTCCACCTCATCAGATTCTTCCAAGAGAGAAAGCGTCGCCGACAGTACAAAGCCAGAACAGGACAATACTAATAATATCCTTGCCCTCCCCTCCCCCCTTACTAAACCTCCATGTCCCTGGCTTATTCAACCAACTTATAGACGACCCCCATGCATGTGACATCACAGGAGCTCAATTTGGAGGACAAAACAAAAGAGTTTCATTCTCCTGAGAATTGGAAACCTATTGTTATGTACTCGAAATTAAGCAGCATTCCGACGTGCTGCAAATTGTCTATTCCTTATTTGTCACGTCACGTGACTATGTTGCTACGTCAACATCGTATTCACGTGATCTCTGACACAGGTAGACCAACAGATGAATAAAAATTCTTAGAATTCTCAACGAGCATAACGAAACTAGTTGATAGGACCTTTTCCAAAAATCGTTGTCCACAGCAGAAAACAAGAAGCAAGAAGCTGGCGCCCACTAAAATAAATGTTGAATAGTCCCTTTTCTCATTCCGTAAATACCGCTGTGTTTTAAGACTGAAGACTCATCTCCGCAGGCTTAGCCTCATTTAAGAGTAAATTTTTTGCAAATGTCAACTCTAATGTAAAGAATGTGCAGCTTGAACAATACCAATGTTTTGAAATCCCACAGACTTTTAATGGTATCTGTGAATAGCTGACTTATAAACCAGGCAAGACCTGTGCAAATGAGTCTGTAGTCTTCAAAAACAGCGGTATGCATTGAATGTGAAAACTAGTGTATTATCTTGCAGTTAAATTGGTCCCGACAACGATTTTTACTATAATAAGCGTATGTTTTACTTTTTAGCAGAGTAGATTAGAGTTTTGAACAATAAATGTATAGCATATTTTTTAAGATGCAAGTGCTTAAAGTTATGTATATTTATTCGTTGTAACGATTTATTTTTAGCTGTCACGTGCTTAGATTTATGATAGATTATAACTAATTGATATCGATAGGAATAACGATAGTTATATAAATATAAAAGATAAGAAAACAAGGCGTTCGAAACACAAAAACACGCTGCATACTGAACACAATTTTTTCTAGAAAAACCGTAATAAAAATCATTTCAGAATTAAAATCTCGGCTACTTAGTATTAACAAATCCATTTTTTTTTCGTAAACGATATCGAGCGTGCACTGTAATGGTTTCTTTCGTAAAGGAATGCGAAATTCCATGACACTRAATTGGCTTCCCAGTTTCTTAATTTATAGTCTGTGTACAATATCACTTCATGTCCCTCCCCCCGTGGGAAAAAAATGGTGAGATGTTCAGTACCTTTCGAGCATCCCGCGGGTTTCAAGAATCACTCGGTAACACTCACCGTTGAGAGAAAACTCCTGAGCGGGCTACCTGTCTCCACTGCCTTGTCTCAACACATTTCTCCTTGGTATTTATGTACTGTTTATGTGGAAAATACCTCAACAATGACGCCATCTTCCTAAGTCTACAACCTTGTGAACTAAAAGTAAAGAAAGGTAAGAATATAATATTAGAACTACGTCTTATTGAAGAAAAAAATAACCCCAAAAATATGAGAATCTATAGCTAAAAAATTAATGTTCTTTAGTCTCGCATTTCAAGCTCAGTTCAAAGTTATTTTGCTTCGGTACATATGTATTTTTGTGTTCGAATGATGTTAGTCAATGTAAATATCTTTCTGTTGTTATTCTTATTTCATCGCAGTTATATTATTTTATTTTGAACTTCTTAAAGGAATGTTATAGCCTAAAGTAATGCAACGCAGTTATATTAAAAGCTGTAAGTAAAATCAATAGCAAACATGTCGTAACCTTTGACCTTAAAGTAAATCGAAACGTACTTAGTGAATCGAACAGAGCGCAGATTTCCCCCTTGTCTCTCGACCCCTGAGGGGGAAAAATGGCAATTTTTTTGCAGTTTGAGAGAAAGAGAAGAAGAGAAATCTCTCATGATACAATCGTTCGTTGAAGCTATATTTCTTATTTATTTTAGCCAAGTTAATCGTAACATGGAAATCTCTAACGGGCCGGTGGGGGGGTGGGGGGGATAGTCTTGTTCCAACATCATGAACCACAGTTTACTGACCCCATTAGTCTCCCATTAGTCTCGCACGCAGTCCATAGGATTTCAAAACATTGGTGTTGTTTAACTTGCACAATCTTTACGACCTTGTAGCTGTTTTAGTTATCAGATTTCTATTCTAGATATTTTGGTTTAGTTGTCTGAGTGTTAACGTATCAAATGTTTACTTAAAGTCTCTAGATTATGACCATAGATTGCGCTTATTAGAACTTTAAACATTCTTGATAAGATTGTCATATAACTCAAAATAAATCAAAATAAATCCATGGACATCACAAATCTTGCAAAAATAAGACAAAATAGATCTCTTTACCTTGGGCGTAATGTTTTCCCATTTCAGACCACGTGTCATTCCCTTGAGAATAAGATTCTTTGTTTAAATGGTATCCATATTCATGTGTCTTCTCATGTGCAACCGTTAAACAAAGAAATGACACTCTAGAGAATGACATGTGGTCTGCAAAAACATTTACACCCAAGGTTACTGGGGTTTTCCATATTCTGCAAACTCAGACATTCCAACGGCTTGTTGTGAAATGGCTTTTCACTGCTGCCAGTCAAGAAGATAAAAGGTACCGACTGGTTATTTTTGATTGACGGCAGAGAAAAACCAAATTTCAGTGTCCAGCTTTACTGAGTTATCAGAATATCGAAAACCGCAGTAATAGATCTATAGCCCATTTAGCTAGAATAAATATTTTTTTCTTAAAAATGATTATCACACAATTTAAGCCTTATATTTATTGCGTGAGCATTTTGCTAAAGGGATACATTTCATTCACCACCGTCTCGCTGAACTGGCGTATTTTTCCCTTTAAACCAATCTCGCAGTCCAAGCTAATTGTCTAGCCCATAACATTGCCATGTGGCGTGTCTGGTTAAGGTTTTATCAAACAAAAAATAATCTACCAACAAAAAATATATTTAGTTGATTCAGAAGCAGTGCCAGAGTGAATAACATTGCAGTCAATTTGAATAGAGAAGAAAAAAGCTCCCTCTTGTCAGTCGTAGCTGCCTCGCACGGACTAATCATATCTTAGAATTTTGGTGAAGAAACCTAAATCCGGTACTTTTCGAGCCTCTTCTCAAGGATTAAAGGTTCGTGGAAATGTGTGTTTTCTATGTTAATAAGTTAATGCTCTAATTTTACTGTTATGAGCCTCAGATTTCTATACTTTCCTTGATCCTTAATACTAATTTGCAGGGTTAAGCGACTGGACTATAAGTAGACCTCTTCACTTAAAGTGCCTATCACCCTTCTGACGATATTCTCAGTATTGATTCTACATGGGGCAAGATGTTGAATAACCCGAAAAAATTACATAGTTTGAGTGCGGCATCTTGAAATTATAAAGGTTTTTCCACGCCGTATGCTAATGCTGTGACGTATGAGGAGTAATCATTTAATATACAAAACACTACTGGTACAGATAAATTAAATTTGAAATACGTCATTGTGTTCCCCATTACTCTTATAGAAATGATTGCAAGTTAGTTTTCCCATAGAAGCCGGTGTTTCGAATTACGAGGAACAACAAATAACCATAAATGCCTCCTCATACGTCACAGCATTAGCATATGACATGAAAAAACCTTCATAACTTCAAGAAGCCGCACTCAAACTATGTAATTTTTTCGGGTTATTCAACATCTTACCCCATGTAGAATCAATACTGAGAATATTGTCAGAAGGGTGATAGGCACTTTAAATAACATAATAATATTATTACTAATGGACGGTAATTCTTATATAAAAATATATCTCAATGCGCTTTACATTTGAGTGAATTTTTAGGATATTAGTGTTATGCCACCAAATTGGGATAGGCTGTCGACTAACCTGTGGACAATCCCCTACTCTTACACGAATAATTCAACAGGTTCTTTTACGTCCGCCTCATACAGGGTTATATAGTGAAGACAAACGCGGCCTACGGTTTTAAGTCCTTGTTCGAGAAGACTTGAAGGTCTAACCATTTGCAGATGTAATCACAAAGGCAGCACCTTCTCAGTTATTCAAACACCCTGAGTGTTACCTTGGGCGTTGTTTTTCCCATTCCAGACCACATGTCATTCCCTAGAGTATCATTTCTTTATTTAACGGTTGCACATTAGAAGATATACGAATATGGATACAATCAAGAGACATTACCCGAAGCCTATAACTAATACCCCTATCTCATCATTTTCACGGACTGGTTATTTTTAGATTCGTATTGATGACCAATAATAAAGCATTCCTTATTAGTTTCTTTTGTCCATTCCACCAACATGGCGGCTATAGCTTTGTTCTCTATGTCTCGAGGGATTGCAAAGCCGTTCTCAAAATATAGTTGGTCTTGGAAAATGATAACTCATTAGAAAGATAAATCGCGTCTCAAACAAAGAATCTTATCTCAAGAGAATAACATGTGGTTTGAAATAGAAAAAAATGATCTATTTTTGTGTGGTTAGTCAAAAAAATGGTAGCTATTATTATTATTCTGTCGTTGTATATGAAGTAAAGCATAACAACTCATGTAAAACCTGTTAGTTTTGCCTTTCTAGCCCTAATAAGGCTTCTAAATTAAACCTGTGACTCAGGTCAGTCGTCGAGCTTGACATGAGCCGAACCTAATTGAAGACGGTCTTATCTAAAGTCATTAGGTTCGGCTCATATAAAGTTCGACGTTTGACCTGAGCCTAAGTATACTAAATAGTACGTCTAAATTTAACCGTGAAGACAGTGGAATGCCCGAGGTATGTGTAGTTTCTTCGTATTGCCATCTGGACATTAAAGCGCATGCTCTGTGCTGCTGTGCAGAGCAAAGGCTCAGAATTCAAAACTTTTTTGAATAGCTTGAAGTTTCTCTACTAATATAGACCTCTTTGATTTCGACTAGAATTATTTTTAGTTGAGAAATCGTTGTTTTTTCAGAGTGTGATAAAATTGAAGCTTTCTTTTTCTCTTGAAAAGTACTCAATTTCAATAGCGCCGGTAAATCACCTACAATTTCTAAAAAAAAATTTAGTTGAGAAATCGTTGTTGTTTTTTCAGAGTGTGATAAAATTAGAAGCTTTCTTTTTTTTTTTTTTTTTTTGAAAAGTACTCTGAATCAATTCCAATGCCTGCAAATCACCTACAATTTCTAAAATGAATTTTAGAAAAAATCATTTTTGCTATTATTTTTTCTCAGCGTTTTAAAAAATGATCAAGGACACCAGAAGAGTAAAGCAAGGCGAAGGACGCCGAAACGCCAGCCCACGAGACAACAGAACAGTTTCTACAATAAACCGCAATTATCTATGCTCTTGTCGCGCGTTGATTAAATTAATGGAAATTGTAAGTAAAACTATCAATGATCAGATTTATATTTTTTTTAGTTATTTTCTTTGTTAACGGAAGTATGGTATAGTTTGAAAAATAGGATTACACGAGGTCTGAAACAGGGACAGTCTACCCCTTTATCTCATGAATTTTATTACAAGTCTGCAATGACAAGCAAACACTGCCCGTCATGTGCTATCAAACAGAGAGTATTCTATTGCTAGGTATCAATCAGCTGAATGAAACTCATGAATCTCATTACGAGTCTAGAATGACAGTCAAACACTGCCCGTCATGTGCTATCAAACAGAGAGTATTCTATATTGCTTGGTGTCAATCAGCTGAATGAATCTCATGAATCTCATTGCCAGCCTACAATGACAGGCAAACACTGCCCATCATGTGCTATCAACCAGAGAGTATTCTATTGCTTGGTATCAATCAGCTGAATGACTCTCATGAATCCCAACACTAATCCTACATGCGCATTCATCATTACAAATTTCTATCGAAAACGTGCCACTCAGCCTGCGCAAAAATAAGATTTAAGAGACCGGAAATGATGATGAATATTGATCATGCTTTTAATTCTCCCAAGGTTACTCTTATCATCGCCATGTTGTGTATGGTCCATTATGATGCCTTCTGGACAAGGTACCCCACCAATATGGTGCTGTTTTACGTCGTGGTTTGTATATCTTGGATCCTTCAGTTGGCCTTCTTTGTTTTGATGGTTTTGTCGCTGGAGGAAAGACTTCCTGGCTATGACTGGGATCTTTGGGTATGTATTGACCAAGGGTCGGGAGGGTAGGGAAAATGTTGTCTCCAGTAGATAAGTGCTTCTTTGCAGTACATTTACCAAGGGTCGGGAGGGCAAGGAAGATGTTGTCTCCAGTAGACAAGTGTTTCTTTGTAGTACATTTACCAAGGGTCGGGAGGGCAGGGAAGATGTTGTCTCCAGTAGACAAGTGTTTCTTTGCAGTCCATTTAYCAAGGGTCGGGAGGGCGGGGAAGATGTTGTCTCCAGTAGACAAGTGTTTCTTTGCAGTCCATTTACCAAGGGTCGGGAGGGCAGGGAAGATGATGTCTCCAGTAGACAAGTGCTTCTTTGCAGTACATTTACCAAGGGTCGGGAGGGCAGGGAAGATGTTGTCTCCAGTAGACAAGTGTTTCTTTGCAGTCCATTTACCAAGGGTCGGGAGGGCAGGGAAGATGTTGTATCCAGTAGACAAGTGTTTCTTTGTAATCCATTTACCAAGGGTCGGGAGGGCAGGGAAGATGTTGTCTCAAGTAGACAAGTGTTTCTTTGCAGTCCATTTACCAAGGGTCGGGAATGTAAGAAAGATGTTGTCTATAGCGAAGTAAAGAGCACTCTTGCTAGTACTTGAATAAGAAATGGCCACGCCAAACATTAGAAATTTGTGAAACACAGTAAAAAACAGGAGAAATGGAGGCAAGTTGGTAACGCAATGTTTGCATTTGATATGTTTATCGGGAAGTTTACTTTACAAACCTATATACAGAGATTGGATATTTGTTAATGCTTTTTTCAGTTGGTAATGCCTTTAGTAATGCCCTAACTAAGGTTTTACTCTCTTTTCACTAAGGTCGTTCTGAGTGGAGTCTTGGAGGCAGTTCTACTGATCTCGACAGCCAGTCTACTCACGAGCGACGTTCTACGCCACAGGAGATTGGAATGGAAAGGAGAAGATCTGACAGACGAAATCAAGCATTACTTGAACAGTCTTATTGCTACAGTGGTAGGTCTTGCTATCATGAATGATGATGACATTGATTACTGAATGATAGTTATGATGTGAACATGATGGTAATGATGGTAATGATGGTGATGATGGTAATGATG